ATTCAGTTCAATTGTTAAGGTAGTTTATGGGAAGTCCTATGATCCCACACTTACATGCTGCTCATAAAGTGCTACGGTACATCAAAAGAGCACCTGGACAATGACTATTTTATCCTACAGAGTCAAGGCTTCAACTAGGGGATTATTGAGATTCAAATTGGGGGGCATGCCTAGACACTAGGAGATCAGTTATAGGTTACTGTGTATTCATTAGGAAAGCCTTGATAGCATGGAAAACAAATAAACAACATGCGGTATCACGATCCTCAGCTGAAGCGGAGTACAGAGCAATGACAAATCTCTGTTGTGAACTAACTTGGCTCAGGTACTTGCTTAAGGATTTAAAGATTGAACGCCTTCAAGAAGTAGGCCTAAATTGTGATAACAAAGCTACAATTCACATAGCTACAAATCAGGTATTTCATGAAAGAACCAAACACATTGAACTTGATTGCAATTTGGTTCGAGAAAAGATACAAGACGACAGCATCATCACGCAACATGTTTCCAGTGCATCATAAATTGCAGATATTTTAACTAAGGCTCTAAATTCCTAAACTTTTTACTCTTGCTTATTCAAGATAGGAATGATGAACATCTACTTTTCATCTTGCGGGGGGCTATTGAAGCTGGAAGATATGAATCAGCTGGAGCATTTGCACAATCAGCAAGATGCAGGCCAAGATGGATAGATGACAAGGCAGCAACAAAAGAATAATCTAGAAGATGATTAGTTAGATTTTTAGTTATTTTGCAACTTGTATTTATTTTATTTTCAGTGTAAATTAGTTGGGAAAAGATTCCTTTATTGCTATACATATAGGATCACAATTGGATACTTAACACGTGATTGAATGAATATATTTTCAGCTTTCTCTCAATTCATCAATATCAGAATTTTATCTTTCCAAAATCAACACTTATTTTGTATTCAAATTAAACAACCATGCCAAAGGTTCACCACTAAACATAATAGCAGTGGAAGAAATAAGTGCATCATCTGATCGGGGCCAGCCTCACAATTTAGGAAGGAAAAATGTCTGATTCCACCATTCGACAAATTCAGGGAAGAAAAAATTGATAAGTAAAATCAGCCTGATAACATGCTCCATTCTCTTGTTAATTAAGTAAATATGTCACAGAGTGCTCAATTAAACTTGGTATCTGACTTACATCTTTAGCTTGCTAGTGAAATTCCCTTATGTTAGCTCTGATTCGATGAATCAGAGAGTTACTATTGTTATTTTAATTTCACGAGACAATTCAAGTCTTAATGAACCGTAAAAGCTTATCAATGCTGCTTTACTTGCCTGAATATTACTCAAATAAAGGCAAAGAATATGAACACTACTGGGTAAAAAATATGTACTAATGTGGGGGACATGGGGACTCGAAAAAAGGAAACTTTTTCATATATAAAAATTCAGTATCTTCTCACGAATTAGTGAATTAGACAGGTTTCCTTTGTATTGTACAGAATAACAAGTACCTAGTATCGTCATAATATCAGCCAATTTCATTCTTTTAACTAACTGAGGCAGATTTTAGAAAATTCTAACGATAGGAGGAATTTATTCTTCTGAAGGTGGGAAAAAAGATAAAACGAAATAAAACGGATTATTAATCCAAATTGAATTCTTGGTTTCGTCCAATCATTAATAACTTGATTATTTTTAGATAATAGTAGATAGAAACAATGCTTGTAAGAAGTTCTATTGAAGTAAGTCGTTATGATTCAACTAGAGGACGTATAATTTATCGACTCTGCAACAAGGATCAATTGAAATCTTTTGAGAAATGTAAATATGGGCTGAAGAATGAATGCTTTCTCAGCGAATGCTTTCTCAGCAGGAGGGCAAAGAAGGCTGTTGAAGTGACTAATTCATGGAAATTAGGAGGTGTTGTGTGGCAGAAATTTATGGAAAATTTGCTTAAAATGTAGAATGCTGGTTTGGGTGTCTGGACAAAACTAGTAGATGATCCATTGACAAAAATGTTTCCTTTGCTCTTTTTAAGGTGGGAAATTGCAAAATATGTCGGATAAACAGATCCCCAAAATTTTATATCTTGCCAACAACAATAAATTTAGCCCATGTTTGAACCTGTTAAAAAATCAAATTAAATCTAAGTCAAAGTCAATAATTAATTTTAACCATGCATTTCGTAAGATTCACCACTTTTCAACCACGCTCCCATCAACTTTTATCAAAATCTACTAAAAATCTGATTTTAATCTTTATCAAACAAGGGCTTAATGTAAGTATTATGAAGAAAATGAAAAGCAAGCCTTCGTTGGAGTAATTATCTTGTTCAATGGGTCATCAATAGAGATAACTGTCTATCTTTGTTAAATCGTCAACTCTCATGAAAACATGTCTCAAAACATGGATTTGGTCCTTTGGACAAAGCATACGACGATTTTTAACATAGATTTGGACTGTTTTGCTGTTTGACGACCTTTTGATGATATAACACATTACAATTACCATGACAGGTGCAAACTTGGTAATGTCGATGCCCTTGTTAACTGAATACATGCTGCCTATCCTGCATTATTCACCAGATGTCCACTGTTAGAAGTACAACATTCAAGAAAAAACAAATATTTATCGTAATCAAGAAACTAAAAATAAGAGAAAAGGATAAGCAATTAATCTAATATACAGTAATGAATAAGCAGAAGTCTTGTATAAATATACATCGGCCAAAGTGATATATTGTATCATCAACAAATTTTCTGCACTCATTGAAGAGCCAAGTTCAATGGCCTCTCTGCAACCTTCCTAAGACGTTCCTCCCTTCGCGCAATAATTGCCAGAGAAGCTCCTTTTCTTGCATATTCATAAGCCAGGTACTGAAATTTTATCCCAATTAAGAACTCAATGAATATAAAGAAAATAAAAACAGACTTCAATCCGTGAAGAAGCACCAGGGATGAGAACAACTTTTCCTTTCATGTTGGTTTCCTTTCTGAGGCATTTTAAGATGTTGCATATGATTTTGAATATGAATAAAAGTGGAAAAATGGTAAATAAGGCTGCTGGAAAGTGTGTAAAAACTAGTTGCATTCGAGAACTTGTTGTCGACACACTTACTCGAGAACACTGCTATTTACTGGGGTGGACCTACTTGAGGCCTAGTGGGGCTGGCCACCCTCACTCGATTTTCAGATTATCAATTTTTTTCTAGATTTTTTTAGGTTTTCAGATTTTTTTCCAAGGTTTTTTAGTTTCGTCCCACTGAAGTCCTTGGCTATTTATATGTATGCATTTTTTGTATTAGAGAAAAATATAATCTGAGGCAAGAGAGGGAAGCCTGAACAAGAATAAATAGAAGATGACTAATTATTTCGGTACGAACTTGTAGTAAAGAATAATTGCTGAAATTGATATAAAATAAATTTGACTTTTACTTACAAGGGCATTTACAATGGTGGTGTAAAATTAAACATAAATTGATATCTCCAAAACTACTTTTGTAACTTCATTTACATCAAGATGGATCTAAATTTGAATTTTGCTCAAATGGAAAAATTTAAGTTCATTTTTTGCCTCATGTAAATGTAAATTCCTACGGGTTGCACAACTCCATTGTAAAGGTTTGAGATCTGAATCACAGTTTAAATTTATTTTATACCACGATTGGAGATGTTCTAACGCCTTGTGTTCAACTATTTATCGACTTTGATCCCAGCATGGCCACAACTTTGGGGTGTATGGCAGCATATATAATTTTAAGTAGTTATTTATATATCTTTATTTAGAGTTGGACAATGATAGGTGAGTCCCTTGTCACCTTGTTTAGGTGCCAAGCACCACTAGTACTAGCATCAGAATGATGCTGAATAGCATTACTGGAAAAGAAAAGATGAATATGCAAAACAATTAACATCATGCAAAGGGTTTCGTCCAAGAATGATAATTTGATTCGAAAAATAAGAACCCTACGGTGCCCCGCCTGACAGGATAGCCAGCATGGTTTCCGCGATGAAGTGACAAAGTAGTTTGATGCGGCGGTGATATAGTAAAGGAAAAATAATTTAAAAATTATGTTCAATAATTAATAAAGTAAGTAACTTAAAAGTGAGTACAACTTATGTACAAATGTTAGCTGTTTCCACATGTTAGCATGTAATTACAGATACTGACAAGTACAAATAGGGAATGTCAATTCAAAAGAGTAGAACCATATACAAAGAGGTCATGTCAAAATACAATTTTTTTTTACGTGAAGCACGTGAGTTATCAAAGGTTGTATGATTTGATTTTGAGAAAATAAGATTTGACACGACGAGCAACTCAATTAACTTTGAATAATGTTACATAAGATTTTGAGAAAATAAGATTAACGTATCTTTCATTGTCATGATATAAGCATACGAGACAGCCTTAGCCGATTAAGACAAGCAATAAACATTGGCATGGGCACTGCAGAAATTCCCACAACAGCAACGCCGTTGTCGCAGCCATCGCTCGTCCCAAGGGGCTAAGACATTCTTGATTCTACCAAAAGGTATCCCTTCATATAAATATAGTCTCGTCACATTCTGATGTAAGACATAATGGATATATTGAAAAAAGAGTATTAGTAGAAATAGAACATCATCTTAATTCCGAATCGGTCCCATAAGACAATTTTGGAAGGAGAACGACTAGGGGAACAATACTCACTGCTACGCCATGACATACGATGAATTTCGATTGTTCGAGTTTGTTTAAGCCTCGAAAACTGATTTTTAAAGTTTTGGCGCTATTTTTGTCCATTTGTTTATGTTGATTTTTTTTGCAATTCTAGTTCGTTTAAACTTCTTTTTCGTTACTTTTAGTTTTTCCAAACTACGTTTCCATATAAACCCTTATAAATAAAGCCTTTGTTCATTTTTTTTTTTTCATTATCTTTCATTAATAAATTCATGAGTTTATTTTCTTTATTATTTAGTGGATTCCAAATTTCTTATTCTTAAAATTTTCGTTTGAATTCCTTCCTGTGTCACATTCCCAATTATAATCACCATCAAATTAATATCTTACTATGCTTCTTTAAAGAAACATGTAGTCCCACTAAGATAAGTTAGCCAAATGAGTAACTTCCAGTCTATTCTCTAGTGAAAATACAATGATGCTGACAAATAAATTGCCAAACAAGAAGAGACGACCACATTTTTAATAACCATTATCGACAATAAAAGTTGAATCTAGTTATGCCTCCGTGACCCCTTCTGCCCCTAAATCCAAGAAACTGGAATGAAGAACTTTCTTGGCTTTGAACTTTAGACAATGGCTTCAACATCATTCGTCAACCCCAAGATCGCCCCATTTAACATTGCATCTGGCTGCGAGGTAATGAGCCCCAACTGGACCTCGACTTCCATAAGGATAGTACTCGGGGATTATTTTCTCCTCTTCAAGCTCCTTCAACACAGGTGTAAAGAGAGACCAAGCAGCCTCCAATTCATCACTTCGTATGAAAAGTCTCCTTTCCCCTTCAATGGCATCTAAAAGAAGTCTCTCATATGCATCAGGGATCTCCTTGGAGTATCTAACAAGACACGAGAAGAATACATTACTGCAAGTCGTAGAATCTGATTAATAGCCAATACAGATAGTCTTTTGAGACAGTTGCTCATAAAATCTAGAAAACACGGTTCCAAAAAAAAAAAAAATGGATATTCATTGCTGATACAAGATATGCCACAGAGAATTGCTTGATTTAGGCAGTGTTCACTGCCACGATAAATGACAGTATGGATTCAATATTTGTGAGGCCTAAATGTGAATTATATCATCAATACCTCGCTTTGTATAGAAGATTCAGATTACTCCGGTCCAATCTCATTCCCAAGCCAGGGACTTTGTTATTAATCTTCAAATAAATAGCTTCATCAGGCTGGACACGGATGACAAGCTCATTTGTTGCTCGGTCAAGATCAGTCCCGAAGTTTCGATTGTATAAATTACCAGGAACATGTCTAAACTGAACCCTTATCTCAGCCCTGAGGACATGAAGTTTAAGGAAAAACATTCTTATATTGGAAGTTCGATAACATAAACAAGCAATGCCAAGTTTTCGGTTTTGGTATTTGACCTCCTATTATGTAAGGCTTTCCCGGCTTTCATTAGAAAAGGCACACCATCCCATCTCGCATTATCAATGAATAGTGAAGCTGCAGCAAAAGTTGGGGTTAAGCTGTCTTTAGGTACAGTTTTGTCGTCTGTATATCCTGGATAGGTGACACCTCCTTTTGTGTGAGTCTTGTATTGCCCAATGACCACATCATCAAGGCGTAAGGGCCTCATGGAACGCAAAACTTTAACCTGTAGTTCATTAATTGTTAATCAGAGATCTTCAGTAAGCATCATACTAGATAATAATATGACAGGTATGCAGAAGAGGCAAAAACCTTTTCGTTCCTGATATCTTCCGCATCCAAACTGACGGGTGTTTCCATGGCAAAGAGGGCAAGTATTTGGAGCAGATGATTTTGCATTATGTCTCTAATAATTCCATAATGATCAAAATAACTGATAAAATAAAAAATAAAAATAAAAATAAGACTCCAAACCGACAGTTAAAAACAGAAAATAATGAAAAATAATAAAAGCTCATAACAACACACAAACCAAAATAAAAAAACAAATGAAACAAAACAAGTGAACAATCACACAATTAAAAAAAGAAAAAAGAACTAACCATCTTGCATGATAATCACATTAGAATATCGATTGCACTTAGATTGTAAAGAAACCTTTTTTGACACCAATAATTTCGGAGAAACTAATGAAAAGGGTACATTTGTTTTATGGTGATGAACCTCAATATAGGAAAATTTTGAATAGGCTGCTGATGATGATGAACAACAACGTATTGATGAAGAAATTGCCACCATAGCCGCAGATTCTCTCTGTATGTTTTATGAATCTATTGTAAAATGATAATTGTGTAAGCAAGAGGCGGAGGAGATTAATAGAACTTCGGAAATGTCGAGGGTTAACTCCTGAGCTCTCCGAAAAGCTGCTTTCTCTCTTTCCATTTTTTTTCTTTTAATTATTATTATTATATTTTTTTTAAAGTTTGGTTTGGGCTTTTGCGAGAGGACAAGGTAGAAAAGTTGAATATGAAATACGAATATGAGTCTTTAATTAATTTATTTTAATGCTTATTTATATTCACTAAAGTAATTATTGATCTTAATTAATTGGAATTTGTACAAAAGAAAATTAGAAATTAAATTATTTTTAAGGAAATTCACAGTCAAGCTCCTTGAACTTTAAAAAATAATGCATTGAACTACCTACTAATTTTTCAACTTTTAAGTCGTTGTGCATTCATTTTTTATTAAATGAAAATAGTCAATTTTTCTTGTCTAACAATCACTTTGCCTAATGTTATATTTGAGAGTTATTTTCGTGCATTCACCACTATAGCTCATATTTCCTCTAGAAAGACAAGACGAGTATATTTGACCAAGTCTAAAAACACCTTAACTCGTGAGTACACCAGAAATAAAAGTATAAAGACATAAATGTAAGAAAAATTAATTGAGGACCGACCTTTGTGCATTATTTGTGAAAGTTTGGACTCGCTATACATTTTTTAATTTCAAGTTTAAAATGTGAATATAGTTATTCGTGGCCATTCACTATCACAATCACTCTACGTGGCATCTATATATGACGATTAATAATTTAATATTTGATAAAAAGAGAAAATTGTCATATTAATATATCAAATCATAAATCATCATGTAGTATATCACGTAAGAAAACTATTGCAGTGAGCGATTATGAATAACATCACTATTAAAATGCAGTCACATTTTTCATCTAATCATAAAATGCCACACATTCTCTTGTTAAACAATCTGTCAAAAATCTTCTGTCAGTGTGGCATTTTCCAAATAAAAATATAGCCCCGTGACCCACGTGGAGACGGAATAGTAGGGGATGAGACAAAACCCAAGCTTTCTTAAACTTTATGGGCTTTGTTTGGACGGTAAACACTATAAATATTCTATAAGAATATTCCTTTCAAGTTTGAGAATTTTTGGCCAATTACGTGTTGTGATTAATAACTACTAACATTGGCACATTGTAATAAAACATTGGCACATTGAATTTTATTTCAATGTGCAATTGAAGTCAAAAAATCAATTATCCCAAAATTATTCAAATAAACATATCTGACATTTTTATTTTATCATAACAAGAAGTGGTTTTCTAGTGAGAATCGAAGTTTTATTGAAGGGTTTGTTTATAGAATAAAGTCATTTGTACATACATAAATTACAGAAAGCATTATAAATGATGAGGTGACAACACTGTACTAACTAGTTTAAATTTGTTTTGTGTCAATATTCAATGAATGCTTGCCAGCTAGCAATCTGTCAAGACAATCGTCAAATTTTTTGTCCATTTTGTTTTTTTCCATTTTATATTTACGCTTGTGTTTGAAAATATTTATGGTGTATTGATTGGTCTATTTTTCATGAAAGATGTCATTTTTTTTATATAAACTCATGCTTTTTAGGTGTTCGATTGTCATTTTTTTTATATAAAATGTTTTTCAAAAGGTAATCACGTGATCATTTTTCTTTAAAAACAAGGAAAACATTTTTATTTAGGGACGGGTAGATAAAACAATTTCTATGCAATCCACACCTCCCAAAAACACTACTCTTTTCTCATCATACCCTCTCATCTATCCACCAATTAAAATTAAAAAAAGTCAATCAAATATATTTAATTGACAATTTCTATGTAAATAAATTATAAGCAATTCAATTATTTAGAACTTATTTTCTTTCCATACAAGTTTTATACTTGCAATAAAAAATACCACTACTTCAACTATCTCAGGCAACTATACCCAAAAAATACGTTTCTATAGACCCTGTTTGGTGGACTAAAAATAGCTGAAAATTTTAATTCAAAGTCAATAATTAATTTTAATCGTATATTTCAATGAATTCATAATTTTTCAATCATATATTTCATCAACATTTATCAAAAATTTTAGTAAATTTGATTTTAATTTATACCAAACAGATAATTTTTAATAGTCAAAATCAGTAGTCACATAAAAATTACCTCTGGTTTTCTCTCCATTTTTTATCCTTCGGCTGATTAGAGAAATCAACTTTACATGCTTCTCATTTTTCTTCCTTAAAGACTCTCTGCAACTTTAGGAGGATCAGCAGGTTTTTTCACCTTAACACTAAACTTATCATTCTTCACATCAGTTTCAATCCCCTCCACTACTAAAAATCTCATCAAAAATCAATTACCCCATTCCTAAAATTGAAAACCCATATCAGAATCAGAACCTTCAAACGCCATTAATGTTGTGTGCAGGGCATTCTCCCCTTTGTTGTTGACTCCTTCTATGCCTGTTCCTTCTCTGTTACAAACATTTTCAAAAACCCTAGTTAATAATGTAATCACAACACAAAATTAAGCAATTCTTTCGAGAAAAGAAGAAGCTAGAAGCAGAAGATAAGAGATTAAAGAAACTACAAAATGTGTTTAGTTTTAGTTGGAGAATGTCAGTAGTACTGATTAACGTGACGAATCTGTTTAATTTGAAATTTTGATCAATGCTATGATCTTCAAAAAAAGAAATAGATTTATTATTATTATTATTATTTTTTTTTCACCAGAGAGATAGATTTAGCTTAAATACAATATGGAACCCATTTGAAGTATTCGGTAAAAAATGATTTGGTAATATGAAATAGTTTAATTTGGAGGTAAATGTTTTTAATTATATTTAAAGAATGAAGTTACCAATAAGTGCTTTTTTTTGCACTTCTTTATGCTATATTATTAAACTTTTATGTCACTAAATTATTAATTTTTATTTAATTTGGGTTAATTTTCTTTTAATTTTTTTAGGGATGGACCCATTTTGAAGCAATTGGAAAGAAAGAATGATAAATTGGCCATTGAATAAAAATTGGAGACTAATTTCCACGTGTTAAAAATTGAGGGGCTTAAATTGAATTGAAAAGGATGGGCTGTACAATTGAATGGGCTAAATGACTAAATTGCATCATATGGAGAAAATGAAACCTTGGAAAGATATGTTAAATTTAAAGGGCAATTAATCAAATGGGTCTCAATCGTACTCGTTTTAGAATCAAAATTCAATAATGTAGAAATTACACCATACTCTACTTTAAAATTCAACATTCCAAAATCAAGTTGGAAGTTTCACAATTCATAAACCAGATGTTCTATTAATTAATTAATTAATTAATATATATATATATATATATATATATATATATATATACACAAAAACCCTAATCATTTCATCATAAATTATATATATATATATATATATATATATATATATATATATATATATATATATATACACACACACACACACACACACAAAAACCCTAATCATTTCATCATCTCCATGTCTCACTTCTATCCTCCTCCTCTCATCGCCATCGTGGGAAAATGTCTTAGAAGATTGGCAGTCGCCACCAGAGGAGGCCATCTCAAGGTGCTTTCGCCTTTTCAGACAACTTCTCCGATCCTGTTACAGAGGACATTGGCGGTGAATATACCAAGATGACTCTAATCCTCTTATGGAGAGAATGCCGACAACTGATCATAATGGGAAGAACAAAGCTTGAATCCTTCTGTAGGGATGAAAATAAATTATCAAAATGGGAAGACACAAAGCTTAAATTGCATTAGTGGAAATTACACCAAACCGCGTTATGTGATGACATTATTTTGGTCGGTTTTTACATTTCTGTGTTGTATGGTGGTTTTGGTTGGCGATGAGGTGGTGTTTTCTATGATGGATTGATTTGTTTGAGGTAGTGGTGGTGGCGGTTCTGGTGACGATGGTGGTGGTGGTGGTGGTGGTGCTAGTGCTAGAGGTAACAATGAGATATTGGTCGTGTTGAAGGTGGTCACAAATTATTCGGTTAATTGTGACCATTAAATTGATTAATTTGTAACCAATAAATAATATATGACCAACAAAAAAATAAAATTGTAACCAAGAAATAATATATGACCTAAAAAATTGTTAATCTGTAATCAATAATTCGATAATTTGTGATTTATAATATTTGTGATTTGTGAGCAATAAATAAATCGTGATTTATAAATTTTTTGATTTGGGACCGATGAACAAATTGTTACCTATAAAATTTTTGAATTATAACCGTCAAATAATTTGTCACATAAAATTTCTGATTTGTGAGTAAAACATAATAAATAACTAATTAAATAGTTAATTTGTGACCAAATTGTATAGATTTGTGACATAAATATATTTAATTTATAAAATTATTTAATCATAAATAAATTTTAATAAAAATCTGATTTTTGAAATTTTCCCTTCAATAATTAGCTGTATCATCAAATTTTGGTGATATCTTTTAACTTTTATTTATTTAATTTTGATATTATGAGTAGCTAAATTATTTTGAGTTAGGATTTTTTATGAAATTTATATTATGAACCTTTAAATTTAATTGTATTTATTTTGACGTTTAAAAAACGTTTTTAGTTACTGAATGC